TAGAAAGTCCCGAGTTAGGTGGGCTATATTATTTTTTCTTATGATGAGAAATTATTGTTTTATGATGAGAAAGCTGGCTTCCAGAATCAACATGTTATACCCACCCCAGCAGGTGGCAAGAAAAAAAATTGACCTCGCAGAGAACCTTGCAAATTCCATAGCAAGAGGCATTGTTTCAAGATCCCAGTCTGGGATTTGAATTTGACCAGGGTTCCTGGGGAATGTTGAAAACTGGTGTTTGCGGCCTTAGGCCAAATCCATGTCTGATTGGGAGCATAAGCTAGCAGAATCTGGGACAGAGGTGGGCTGTTACTATGTTCCATGTGACAAGGACACACACTAAAGACACTAAATTGGAAGAATCGAATGTGTTAGCTGTGTTAACTTAGGTGCTTTATTTTCTGCGGAAATAGAACTCTATTTAAATTCTCCCTGGAGAGGGACGCCTGGGTGGCTCAGTTGGTTAAGCAGCTGCCTCCAGCTCAGGTCATGATCCCAGTGTCCTGGGATCGAGTCCCACGTCAGGCTCCTTGCTCAGCAGGAAGCCTGCTTATCCCTCTGCCTCTGCCTATGCGCTCTCTCTCTCTCTCCTTCTCTGACAAATAAATAAATAAAATCTTTAAAAAAAATAATTTAAAAAAAATTCTCCCCGGAGAGCTGGGTAGTTTTGCAATGTCCCTCTCTCCAACCTAAATCTTCACGGTGATCCAGTGGTTCAAATGAGTTTATGGACACAAATGCTATCCAATTAGGTGGGACCTTCTGTAGTACCACCTTAAGACATTGTGAGTTTGCTTTTCTCCCGCATAGGTATAATTAGACTAATTGCTCATCTGTCTACCCAGCTATGTCTATTCTATTCCTTGTCCTTCGAGTAAAACCAGGTTTTATGCCACAGCCTCCTTTCCCACAAATACTCCTATTACCTACTATATGCAAGACATGGTACTAGATGCTAAGACATACAGTGGTAAACACAGATAGCCCCTGACCCCATGAGGCTTATGGTTACAGGTGGAGGTTAAACGCATTATTATTCAGTTATAATTACAATAACTCTTGTGTTGTGAAAGTCCAGGGGTCTATAAAAAATATCATGGGAACTTGTTTTAAATGAGGATCCTCTTTGAGGAAGTGACTTTGAGGTTGGCACTTTTGGGATAAGTAGGGGTCCATCAGGCAGAGACAGGAAAGAGGTACTCCAGGCAGAAGGGGCAGGTGCAGAGGCCCTGAGGCAGGAATGACCATGGCATTGAAGGAAATAGCAGAAGGCCAGTTAAGTGTATGCCTTCAGCTCAGGTCATGGTCCCAGGGTCCCGGGATCAAGCTCCTTGCTCAGCAGGAAGTCTGCTTCTCCCTCTTCCTCTGTCCCTCCCCCCTGCTCAGGCTTTCTGTCATTCTCCCTCTTGCTTGCTTTTTCTCAAATAAATCAATAAAATCTTAAAAAAAAAAAAAAAAAGGACTGGTAGAATTATCATGGGGGCCTTGGCTCTCCGAATCAAACTGGATTCTTTTCTTGGTTGCCTTTCTTCTCTTGCCATGGACCTTCTGCCTGGAGAAGAGTCTGAGAGCACAGATCACCTGTAGGATCCCCAGAACTCCTTTCTGTGCCAGGACCCCTCCCACTCAAAATCCCACATTTGGATCACAAAGTTAATTGAACGAATTTGGGGTAGATGAAACTGACCTGTACTCAGCTCACCGTCACTGGAACTATGCTCACAGAATCCTCCCTATGGCAGCCTAGGAGTCCTCCAGGGGTCTGGCCCAGCCAGAATCTGCAGCCCCCTCTCTCACTGTGCCCTGCTTGACAGGGTTTGCTCCAGCCCCAGCGAACCAGCTGTGTTCTACCCCTCGGCTCTTTTCCACCTGTGCTGCCTGCTACCTGAAATTGCCCTCCCCAAACTTGCAGAACATTTGCTACATCATATGATAATTTCATAATCTTCTCGCCACCCCACTAGACTGCACATATTGTCTTAATCTCCAAATCCATAGCACCTGGCAGAGGTCTTCAATAATATTTCTCAATAAATCCATGCATCAGTGACTGGATGTCCAGTTGGATGATCTTTAAGAACCTCAAGGTTCTTAGATCAGCCTGGACCTAGCCGAGCACATCAACACACACCTTGCCCCCCAGAATAACCAAAGTAGTCCTGTTCTGTGTTCCCACGCTGCCCTGCCTCTCCTCTTAAATATATCATCGGATTATAACCTGGTTTTTCTATTAGACCAGACCACCCCCCTCCCAATGTCAGAAACTGTATCATTCATCACTGCTGTATCTTAGCACAGGGCACAGGGCACAGTGCTCAGCACATAGGAGAAGCTCCATTGTTGTTGGTTGAATTAATAAGAGAAGAAAAGAAAGAATGAAGGAAAGAGCCAGCCAGGTCTTTTCTCCAGTGAGAGCTTGTCATCAGTTTCTCCATTTGTGAGAGAAGAAGCTGCATTCAATGACTTTAGCTGCCCCTGTTCGGAGCTGGACACAGACATCCAAATGTCCAACGAGAAGAACTAACTCAGTAGCCAAAGGAAGATGCTTAAAAGCATTCCCATCATCCCCCATACAGTACCGAGCCCGGCAGTTAACATTAGACTAGGGTTTGGAGATTGGAATTCTGGTGCTCGCTTCGGCAGCACATATACTAAAATTGGAACGATACAGAGAAGATTAGCATGGCCCCTGCGCATGGAGATTGGAATTCTGGTGCCAATGTCACCACTTAGTAGCTGTGTGTTCCTGGGGAACTTAGTCCCTCTGGTGCTTCATTTCCTCTTTGGGAAATTAGTTTGATTGGACAAACTTTAAAATGGCTTTCAGGCTGCAATTCTGTGATTCACAGAGTAGCGTTTCTGGAATTTTAAACACGAGTGGCAAGACTCAAAGGGACCTCAAATGAAGGGTGAGTCTAGTCTCTGCTGTGACAGAACCAGAAAGGGCAAAATACCCCAGGTTTATACAGCACGGCTTGCTACTGAAGGCCCTTTGGAAATGCAACACTTTCCAAGGGGAGGACCTCACAGCCATCCCCTGAATGACACAGTAGATTTGATTTGGAGCCTCTTGATTCTTAGTCTCGTGCAATTTCCCCTGCCCCATGTGAAGGGAAGTTGATGAAACTGGCATTCAGAAACCTTTCAGATTTCCTGGGCCCCTTTCTCACTATTCTTCTTTAATTTTGCATCACACAAAAAAATTTTTTTTCCATTCTAAACATAAAATTAGAATGTAAGTGTACTTTTTCAGACTATACAGATCTCTTAGCCCCACAGTCCTACCCACCTCCAAAGAGTCATTCTGTCCCCTTGGGAGTTGAGGACTTTCAGTCTAGGATGTCCCAGGAAGGCCCATTTGCCCAGCCGGGGCAGCCACATCTTCTGCTTATTTTTCACAATCATGAGTAAGAGAGGCAGCTCCTTAATCCATAACCAAACACCCGTTGAGCATCTAATTTACAATGCTCCATGGCATCGTTCTGGTCCACAGAGTCCACATAGTTCTTGTCCACAAAGACTTTAAGCAGATTTTTCAAACTGCACAGTGTTCCATTACCAGAGAGCAAAATCAATATAGAGTATGTCTTTCTTCTTTTGGTGGAATAGAATAAAATAGACTTGAGTAGAGTAAAAGTCAACAGGAAAGAAAGAAAAGGCTGGTATATTCACCCTCCTCCATAAGGGTGAAGTTTCATTTTGTGAAACGCTGTTTCAATCACATGTGTGTTCTTGATAAGGGCATGAGGTAAAAATACATTTCTTGTTTTGAATCGTGATTCTTTTCCAAGTTTGAAAAACACTGTCTTATAGCGTATGTTCAAGGAATACAAAATTATATCGTATGAGATATCAAAGGATAAGGAAGAGGAGAGGGGATGGAGGAGGGCCACAAGCGTCCATAAGGCAAAGGATAATGACCTTAGGACAGAGACTCATGTGGAGAGTAGTCATGAGGAGCCGGGGTCCTCCCTGGCTTTGGGAGGATAGGCAGTGGAGCTGAGCTTCAGGGGAGTACGATTTAGTGAGATGAGTTGGAATGAGGAGTCGTGTCTGGGAATAGTACAAGTGAAGAGAATGACTCTGATTCTTCTTCTTTTTTTTAATTTGGTGAAAATCGCCATGGGATCTTTTATTTTTATTTTTAAATTAAATTAATTAATTTCTTAACATATAGTATATTATTTTATATAATTAACATATAGTATATTATTGGTTTCAGAGGTAGAGTTTAATGATTTATCACTTGTATATAACACCCAGTGTTCATTACATCATGTGCCCTCCTTAATGCCCATCCCCCAGTTACCCCATCTGCTCACCAACCTCCCCTCCAGGAACCCGAGTTCGTTTCCTAGAGTTAATGGTTTGTCTCCCTCTCTGAGTGACTCTGATTCTTCTTGACCTGCAGCCCTGCTTCTAGAATGAGGCTAATCCTGGGACCTTCGAGTTTGTGACATTGTTGCTGGATCTCTTTCTTTCTTCTTTTCCAATTTTCATCTCTTTTTCCTGGTGGTCCTGTCATTCAGATGTTGGATCTCCTGGCTTGATTCTCTGATTTCCAATTCTCTTCTGTTTTCTATGTCTTTGCCTCTTTACTTGACTTTCTGAAAGATTTCCTTCAGCTTTATCTTCTAACTTCTCCCCTGAATTTTTCATTTCTGTTATATTTTTAATTTCTAAGAGCTCTTTGATCTCTGAACATCCTATTTTTATAGCATTCTGGTGATGTTGTGAGTGGCTTTGGATGCAATATCTTCTCTTATCTCTCTGAGAGTATTGATAATTTGAAGTTTTTTTCTGCTGATTCTACACTTGTAAGAAATCCCAGAATCTTCTCACGGCCCTTCATACTCCTAACTGTCTCTTCTACCCTGTCACCATGCCCAGGTTCATTATGAAAAGTTCTTTAGCCGTTCTTATAACTGGACCATCACCGCTTCTAGAGTAATAACCAGTTGCCATTTTAATTCTTTTAAGTATGTAAATTCTATCTCTAGGAAGACGTCTCCTATGAGGAAAGGACCTGTGAGGGGGGGCGGTTTGCCACAGTGGAAGTGACAGACAAGCCTGTGGATGAGGGTCTCCGGGAAGCAATGCCCAAAGTCATGAAGTATGTGGGAGGCACCAATGACAAGGGTGAGTATCCCTGAAGGATGTGGTTCTGGGCTCAGAGGCAAGCTTGCTAGGTCTCATCAGGGGAAAATACAGGGAGGGGCCACAGGGCACCTGTCACCACCTGCTTCAGTAGCACATGAACTTGGGCTCTGTGCACAAGAATGCTCTAGGGGGACCACACTGACCCCATCCAGCCTACCCCTCGGTATGTGGTCTCCCTGCTTCATATCACCTGGCATGATTCTCTCCCAGGCGTGAACATGCACTCGGGGTATCAACCCTGCAGTGCTTATAGTATCTTTGGACTGGTTGACTGAGTGAGGAAAGCCAAGTCACAGAGCCAGGCCAGCCTCAGACTTGAAACCTCCGCCTCCAGGCTGAACATCTCTGCCCAGTCCCCGGGTTGCTCAGAATCCGCAGGGCTCTGAGGCTCAGTGAGTGATGAGTATGCCAGGTCCTCGGCTCTGTTCTGGCAAATGAAGGGGCTGAGAGTTTTTAGGCTGTTCCAGTCTTAGACATGGCAGTCTGTGCTGGCCGTGCCCCTATTTTTAAAACAATGGGCCCGAAGTTTCAGTGCACCTGTCAGCATGGAAACCATATTTAAATATGAACTTAACTCTAAAGCTCTCTCATTTGGACTGCCCTTTAGAATCAGTGCAGACCCCAAATGGGTCCAAAGCAAGGCAAAAGAAAAAAGAAAGGTGATGTTTAATTTTTAGGATATTTCTCAGGCTGATGATTTAGAAAGTCAGAAACTGGTATTAACCTCAGTAGCATTTAGTAATACCAAAGTAGACAGGCTTTGGACAATAAGTCAACCAGTAGGAGGTCAAGAAGAAATCTTTTCCTTCTTAATGTTGTTGTAATGTTTTTTAGAAGAATATTTGTATAAAAATGATAAAATCCAGGGCGCCTGGGTGGCTCAGTCGGTTGAGCATCCAACCCTTGGCTTCAGCTCAGGTCGTGATCTCAGGGTGGTGAGATCAAGTCCCACGTTGGGCTCCATGTGCAACACAGAGTCTGCTTGGGATTCTCTCTCTCTCTCCTTCTGCCCCTCCCCTCCCAAATAAATAAAATCTTTGAAAAACTAAAAAGTTTTTGTGTGATTAAACATTAAACATAATGTGATTAAACATTAAAGAAAATCTTGAAAATAACAAAACAGTACCCCAACCCATCTTTTTTATTGCAATCATTGTTGCCATCTGAATGTATTTCTTTAGAGCTTTTTAATAAGCCTTTAAAATGTAATCATAGTGTTTGTGCAATTATGTATCCTTCCAGTATTTACAGTTACTTATAGCTATTTTCCACTAGTGCTAAACAATCTTCTTAAGTGTGGTTGTTGACAGCTACATTATATTGCATTGTGTACCTGTAATTTAGACATATTCCTGTTTTGAACATTTACATGGCTCCCAGTCTCTGACAATTATAAATTCTGCCGTAATGAATATCCTATTACCTACAGCCTTTAAGATATTTTGGATTACTTTCTTAAAATTCACATTTAAACAGAAGGTAATTAGATACTGATAGATTTACAGTCTTGATATGTATTACCAAATAATTTTTTCCAAACAAGTTGAATCACTACATTCCTATTTCCAGTATATACAAATAAGAGCTGTTTTATGTATATCTGACGATATAGTTTTAACACCTGGAAGGTTTGTTATTAATTTCAAGAACCAAAAATACTGTCTTGGAGGAAGAATGAGACTAGCTGATCTTCCACAGTCCTGAGCAAGTTCTGTCTGTAACAGCCCCCTCACTCTGTGGGGATTTATGTTTTCAGGAATCGGAATGGGGATGACAGTTCCTATTTCCTTTGCTGTGTTTCCTGATGATGATGGCTCCCTCCAGAAGAAATTAAAAGTCTGGTTCCGGATTCCAAACCAGTTTCAGAGCAACCCGCCAGTTCCCACTGATGACAGCATTAAGATCGAGGAGAGGGAAAGCATCACCGTCTATTCCCTGTAAGGAATTGATTTTCTAGTCATCAGAGGGTAACATCTAATCTCCATAACCACTCCTTGATCATCTGCAATGAGCATTTGCATTACATTTATATTTTATTCCAGTTTTATTGAGATATAATTAGCCTATAACATTGTATTGACTTCAGGTGTCCAACATATAATGCTTCAATATATAGAAATATTATGAAATGTTCACCACCATAAGTTTATTTAACATCCATCATAGTTATAATTTCTTTTTCTTGAGATGAGAACTTCACAGATCTGCTTTCTTAGTAACTTTCAAATATACATGACAGCATTGTTAACTATCGTCACCTTGCTTTGTATCACATTCCCAGGACTAGTTTATCTTATAGCTGGAAATCTGTACCTTTGGACCACCTTCACCCTTTCTCCCATTCCCCTCCCACATCCCATCTCTGGCAGCCACCAATCTCTTCTCTGTATCGATGAGCTCAGTTGTTGTTATTTTTTTTTAATTGTACATGTAAGTGAGATCATATAGCATTTTCCTTTCTCTGTCCAAGTTATTATCACTTAGCATAATGTCCTTAAGGTCATCCACATTGTCACAAATGGCAGAGTTTCTTTCTTTTTTTATGGCTGAATAATACTGCTTTGTGTATAGACATACCACATTTTTATCCCTTCATCTCCTGATGGACCCTTAGCTTGTTTCCATATCTTGGCTATTATAATAATGGGGCAGTGAACATGGCAGTGCAGATAGCTCTTCAAGATAGTGATTTCATCTCTTAAAAAAAAAAAATTTTTTTTAAAAAAAAAAGGTAGTGATTTCAATTCCTTTGGCTAGCTATCCAGAAGTGGAATTGCTGGATCCGAGGATAGTTCTACTTTTAACTTTTTGAAGAACCTCCATATTGTCTTCCACAGTGGCGGCACCAATTCCCATGACAACAGTAATGAGAGTTCCCTTTTCTCCAAAGGCTTGCTAATACATATTTCTTGTCTTTTTGATACCAGATTCTAATAGGTATGAAGTAATATCTCATTAGGGCTTTGATTTGTATTTCACTAATGATGGGGGATGTTGAGCACCTTTCCATGTACCTACTGGCCAAGTGTATGTCTTCTTCAGAAAAATGTTCAGACCCCCTGCCCATTTTTTAATCAGAATGTGTGGCTTTTTTGCTGTTGAGTTATAGGAGTTCTTTATCTATTTTGGCTTTTAACTCCTTGTCAGATATATGACTTGCAAATATTTTCTCCCATTGAGTAGTTTGCCTTTCCGTTATGTGGATAGCTTCCTTTGCTATACAGAAGCTTTTCAGTTTGATGTAGTCCCATTTGTTTATTTTTGCTTTTATTGCCAAATACCAAAAATTGTTGCTAAGACTGATGCCGAGGAGTTTACTCCTTATGTTTTCTTCAAGGAATGTTACGGTTTCAGGTCTTATGTTCAAGTCTTTCATCTATTTTGCATTGTTTTTTTGTGTGTAATGTAAGATAGAAGTCCAGTTTCAATCTTTTGCCTATTGCTATCCAATTTTCCAGACGCTGTTTATTGAAGAAACTATTCTTGATTTCTTTGTTGTAAGTTGGTTGACCATAGATGCATGAGTTTGTTTCTGAGCTCTCTATTCTGTTTCACTGACCTATATATTTGTTTTTATGCCAGTACAATACTGCTTTGATTACAATAACTTTGTAATATAATTTGAAATCAGGAAATGTGGTTCAGCTTTATTCTTCCTTTTTTTCTTTTCCTCCAGGTTGCTTTGGCTATTTGAGGTCTTTTTTTTTTTTTTAAAGATTATTTATTTATTTATTTATTTGACAGACAAATCACAAGTAGGCAGAGAGGCAGGCAGAGAGAGAGGAAGGGAAGCAGGCTTCCTGCTGAGCAGAGAGCCCAATGAGGGGCTCCTAACCCACTGAGCCAACCAGGCACCCCTATTTGGGGTCTTTTGTAGTTCCATATAAATATTAGGGTTGGTTTTCTATTTCTGTGAAAAATTCCCTTGGAATCTTGATGGAGATTGCATTGAATCCATAGATTGCTTTCAGTAGTATGTACATCTTAACAACATTAATTCTTCCAATCCATGAGCATGGAATCTCTTTTCATTTATTTGTGTCTTCTTCAATTTTCTTCATTAATGTCTTACAGTTTTCAGTGTACATATCTTTTATCTCCTTGGTTAAATTTATTCCTAGGTGTTTTATTCTTTTTGATTCAAATAGTATTGTTTTCTTAATTTCTTTATATTATTGATGAATTAAGTTAAATACTGAGTCCTGACAATTTCTCATTTCATTTTCTTCAGCTTATGGCACACAAACATTTGCATTATGTCTGACTAAATACTTTGCCATTTGCCAGATTGGCGTGGTTGGAGTATCCCCACAGTTTAGGCTGAACACCTACATTAGCCGCGGTAGGGTTCCGGGAGACTCAGGGAATAGCTAAGTCAAGCTGTTGTTTGGGGTCACAAATACATAAATGAGTATAGAATATATATCGGACTTGGGGGCTGTCCTTTTTACCCCCTGAATGCCAGAAAGGCAGGGAGTATTTGCCAGAACTGGACGGCCACCCCCTCCGTTGTTCTTTGTCCACGGTCCTGTTTCCAGAGCCTCATTTGGGGTCATGTTCCTTTTGACTATAGAGCATAACAAGTGCAGGTGGTTGCATGTCTTTATTCTTTGGGTCCCAACCCCCCTTCAGGAACTGAGTCTCTTGTAGAGAATCAGTGCCCCCTGCCATTTGTTAAAATCCTCCTTTATGACAGGCACCGGACCGTGTACAGTCACAGGCCAGGAGCTTTACCAGCATTAACTATAGGTGTGGATTTGCTTCTACTCCAGAACCAACGAAGGGAAAATAAATACACAGATAATCTTGTCCTGGACAGTTTTTGTCCACTCTCCAGGGCTTCCGAACTTACTTATTGGGCTGCCTGGCTCCAACACTGCTACCTGAGGGTGCAGCTTTCTCTGGAGCTAACACTGACGCTGGCAACCGGAGCTTGGCTGGTCTGGCAGTGGTAGGCCGTAGTCGTGCCCCCTAGAGGAAAGTGCGTGTACTGCAGCCGAGCCTCTACTCCAATCATCATTCAGACCTTCCTGCCTTCGCCACAGAGGCAGCGGGGAAAGCAAACTCAAACTAGGGGTAAGGAATATCTTTCCCAAGGACAGGCACTAGAGTGGGGAAGCGAGGTGGCTGTGGTACACAACTTAAGGAGGCGCCCACTTTCACAGTGGCCTAAGTACAGGATTGGCCCTGACAGTGAGGGCCTCCTTAAATCTTGGGTGCTGTGTCTCCAATGTCTCACCCTCATTCCTGCTCCCTCTTCTCCGTCTCTTCCCCACGTGTCTTGGGAGGCAGGCTGGTGTACTCTAATGAACAAGTATATTTTAGTTTGAATCCCACTCAGCCTCTCTAAGACAGTTTCTCCATCTGTTAAGTGCCCATAACAACCTCCCTCAGAGGACTTCTACTAAAGAGTATCTTTCAGTAGTCACTAAGATGCTCCTGTTTTTACAAATGACTTAATGTGTATGAGCTGTGGTAGGTTTCAGTAATTAATTATTTTTTCCCTTTGCCCTTTTGATTTCATAAGGAATGAGGTTGATGTGATTAAATCATTTCCATAAACCTTCAAGGTGGCTGGTCCGATGGTTTTCTTTTGTCCTTAACTTTTTAGTATGGAAATTTCCAAATGTATGAAAAGATAGAATAAGATAGTGAGGGACACCTGGGTGGCTCAATTGGCTAAGGTCTGCATTCAGTTCAGGTCATGATTCCAGGGTCCTGGGATCGAGCCTCACATTGGGCTTCTTGCCCAGCAGGGAGCCTGCTTCTCCCTTCCCCCCTGCCTGTTGCTCCCCCTGCTTGTGCTCTCTCTCTCTCTCTCTGGGTCTCTGAAAAATTAAAAAACAAAAACAAAAACAAAACAAAACAAAAATAAAAAACCAGAATAAGATAATGGAACCCATCATTCACCTTCAATGTTAATTGACTCAAGGTCAGACCTGTGTCATGTGTACCCTCACAACTGTCACCCCTCTATTGGGTCATTTGGAAGCAAATTCCAGACATTTTATTAATTTCATCCATAAATACTTCAGTGTGACTACTAAAGACTTTTTAAAAATACAATCATAATGTCTTATTACTCCTAAAATTTAAACAGCATGTCATTAGTGCCATGATAATAGAAAATGTCCAGCGTTCAGATTTCCCCCACTATCGGATCATTTGTTTTTAAAGTTTGTTTGAACCTGGATCCAAATAAAATCCTTCTCGGGGCTTGATCCCAGGACCCCGAGATCATGACCTGAGCCAAAGGCAGACGCTTAACTGACTGAGCCACCCAGGCATCCCTGGTCAGTATACCTTTTAAGCTTTTACTAATCCATGGTTTTTCTCACTACTATACCTTTCCATTTTTCATGGCTGCTTATGGATCATGTGTCCTGTTGTTTCCCATAGTCTGAATTTTGCAGACTGCCTTTCCGTGGTGTTTCAACATGTTCCTCTGCCTCCGGCATTGCCTGTGAGTTACTAGTTAGAACCAGAGGCACGGACGGATTCAGGCCAGCGCCTTCGGCGAGCATGTTTCATAGGTAGTGTTGTAGACCGCCACCAGGGAGTTCATCACGTTCACATGCTTCTGTTTTTGCAATACCCGTGAGTGCAGATCACCCTTACCTAGATGCCTGGCTTCGTTCAAGTTTATAAAATGACAGTGTCCTCTATTTTTCCTTCACTTTTTAGCTGGTGTCCTTTGATAAAAAGAAACCTCCTCTTTTCTGCTATTTGACTTCTCTGAGATGGAGGCACAGATAACAAGGCAAGATACCTTCTCTTTAGCATGTTGCCTTCTCTTTGCCCATTTTCAGAAGATTGATTTCATTCCTGAACATCCTCCATGGGCAAGGCGGCATTGGTCTCTGTTTTTTGAGGTTCAGTATAAACATACTAATTTCAACATAATTGATGTATTTCCGCTCCTGGCAGCTGTCCTTAC